GACTAATGGCCAATAAAAACATTAAAAGTGGCTAACGCCTGTAATCCTAGCACTCTGGGAGGCCAAGGCAGGAGGATTGCTTGAGCTCAGGAGTTCGAGACTAGCCTGAGCAAGAACGAGACCCTGTCTCTACTATAAATAGAAAGGAATTGGCCAACTAAAAATATATAGAAAAAGTTAGGTGGACATGGTGGTGCATGCCTGTAGTCCTAGCAACTCGGGAGGCTGAGGCAGAAGAATTGCTTGAGCTCAGGATTCGAGACCAGCCTGAGCAAGAGCGAGACCCCGTCTCTACTGTAAATAGAAAGAAATTAATTGGCCAACTAAAAATATATAGAAAAAATTAGCCAGGCATGGTTGGCGCATGCCTGTAGTCCCAGCTACTCGGGAGGCTGAGGCAGAAGGATTGCTTGAGCCCAGGAGTTTGAGGTTGTTGTGAGCTAGACTGATGCCACAGCACTCACTCTAGCCTGGGCAACAAAGTGAGACTCTGTCTCAAAACAAAAAACAAAAAAACTCCTGGACTCACGCAAGCCTCCTGCCTCAGCCTCCCAAAGTGCTGGGATTACAGGTGTGAGCCACTGTGCCTGGCCAATTGTACTTTTGATGCACAAAAGTTTTAAACTTTGATGTTGTCCCATTTGCCTATTTTTGCTTTTGTTTTCTGTGCTTTTGGTGTCACATCCAAGAAATCATTGCCAAGTCCAATGTCGTAAAAATTTTCCTCATGTTTTCTTCTAGGAGTTTAATAGTTTTAGGTCTTTAATACATTTTGAGTTAGTTTCTATGTATATTGTAAGATAAAGGTCCAACTTTTATTTTGTATGTGGATAGTAAGTTTTCCCAACATCAATTTTGAAGAATTGTCCTTTGAAGAAGTATCTTCTTTAAGTGGTTTTGGTCTTGTCAAAGATCATTTGACCACATACACAAGGGCTTTTTTTAAAAGACTGTATTTTAGAGAAGTTTTAGGTTCATAGCAAAATTGAATCATATACTCCCTATACCACCCACACACTAATTTGCTTTTTTCAAGCTTCCTGATGTACAAATTTAGATTACTGATTTTTAAACCTTTTCCCAAATATATACATTTAATGCTACGGATTTCCCTCTAAGCACTACTTCAGCTACATCCCACAAATTCTAATAAGTTGTATTACCATTATCTTTTAGTTCAAACTATTTTCAAATTTCCGTTGTTCTCTTCCTTGATCTAGAGGTTTAGAATTATGTTGCTCAGTCTCCAAATATTTATGGAAATTTCTATTTTCTCTGCTTCTCTCTAGTTTAACTCTATTGTGGTTAGAGACGGTATTCTGATTTCAATCTTCTTAAATTTGAGATTTTCTTTATGACCCTGCTTCGCAAACTGGATTTTGTTATGCTGAGAAAATTACGGTGCCTTCAGAGTATGAATTTTTTCTTTTTCTGCTTTGGTTATGTACAGAGTCCAGTGTGGTGGTTCCACACTAAGTTATGAAATCCTAACCAGTACTGTATTCAAAGTGAGGTCCTCTAGGCTTACACAACAGCGATGAGGATACAGCTAAAGCCGAGTAGCCTTCAGCAGTCTTCAGCAGCATCGTGGGACTTTTTAGGAAGGCCTTTTCCCCTCCCAGAAGAGCAGGGCAGAACAGTTGACTTGTGAGCCCTCTACAGCAGCGGTCCCCAACCGTTTTGGCACCGGAGACCAGTTTCATGGAATGCAATCTTTCCATGGGCGGGGGTCGGGGAGGCGGAGCTCAGGCGGTGATGCAAGCCACGTGGAGCGGCTATAAATATGTTAGCTCACCCCCCCCACGCTTACCTCTTGCTGTGCGCCCGCCCCCTCCTTTCCTAAATTTCATGCAAGATAATTTTTCCACAGACGCGGAGGGGGAGCTCCGCGGCCCGGACCACAACAGGCCACGGACCGGTACCGGTTCGCGGCCGGGGTTTGGGAACGCAAGCTCTACCTGACCTATGTGTGGGTTTTAGGAAGCCAAGGATGTTGTACCCTAAGATTTTTTTTCCTTTTGGTCTTCTATTCAGAGGCGAGAAAGCTAACGAGTTCTCAAAACCCAGAAGGTCTTAGGGAAGCTGGGTCGCGGTCCAGAGCGGTGGACGAACGCCTCCTCCCTGGATCAAGGAGCACATCTCTTGTGAGGCCTAACGAAGCAGGGTAACAGCTCCCAGCCGCCTCGCCAGCCCGGCAAGCCAGCCAAGGAGAGCGCCTCCCGAACAAACCCTTCCATTCTTCCTTCCGTCTTTCTTTCCTTCCCAGCCACTCAAACTTCCACCCACAAGAGGAACGGGGTGTGGTCAAGGGGCGGGATAGCGAACCGCCCGTCCCGTGACAGAATGGAGGACAGGAGGACCTAGCCTACCAATAGCCGCTCAGGGCCCGCCCACTCGACGTCACCCACCGAGGCCCCGCCCCGTCCTCAGAAGGTGGAGCATGAGGTCCCGCCTCCAAACGGCCTCTCCTCAGAGGGCCGGGCGTAGGGCGGGGCGGCAGGCCGGGAGCCCGGCTGGGTGCAGTGGAAGGGGAGGAGAGGAAGGGCGTGGTCACGTGTGGCTGGCGGCCCCAGGTCACGTGACGGGGCGCAGTTGCTGAGGGAGCCCGGGCTGGGAGTTCTCCTGAGGGAAAAGGAGTGAAGTGGGGGGGACGCGGCGGCGGCGGCAGCGGCGCTGATAATGGTGAGTGCGCGGCGGCTCGCGCTCTCGCCTCCCACCCTTGTCCCGGAGCGCGCGGCTGGACGACCAACGGCGGGCCGGGCGTCGCAGGAGGAGGGGACGGGCAAGCAGGGCGGAGAGCCGGGTTAGGCCTGTTGGGCCACCCTGGGGTCGGGGAAGAGCGGGCGGCGCCGCCTCTTCCCAGTCTCCGCGAGGCCAGAGCGCCTATGGGCGGCAGCACGCTCTCCTGCCATGTCGGAGCCTCTGCCAAGCGTTCTTCGACCGCCTGTGGGGGCCCTGGCTGGGGGACTCGGACCCCGCCTGCGCGGGGCTTGTCGCTGCCTCCCCTTCCAAGGTAGCCTGTCCCTCGGCTCCTCCCAGGCAGCCTTGCTTCCATACAGGTTGGGTGACGCGAGAGTCCCCCTAGTTCCGGACTCTGCGGGGACTTGGTCACTCAGTGTGTCACAAGCTTGATAAACTCCAATATTTTTTAACCTGGATATGGTGATAGTCTTAGATTGCATTACCCCAATTCAGGCTTTATGTTGACACTTGTAAAATGGGAGAGGAAAAATAAAAGGACATTGGAATGGGGGACGTCTTTAACTCAAAAGACACCAGCTTGGTGCCTGCTTAGCATTGGCTCTCATTTTCTTCCCCAAGCCATTCTATGAACTTCACGCGTTGGGTTGTTGAAATGGCCTAGGAATCAGAGGGAGGGAAATCAGAGCGCTCTGGCCACAGTTAATGGGAAGCACGAGCATGGTGCTTCCCACTAACTGGCCGTGGTGGCGGTGAATTTTGCGTGTGTTGGCAATTTCTTCTAGACTGGATTCATTTGGCTCATTTTATGGTAATATTCGTTAATTCGTTTCATTTAGCAAGCGTACGTTGAGCACCTAAGGTGTACTCTCATACTGTCTGCTTTGCCAAAGCTCACTGGTTCAATAAACTGCTTAAGACTTTTAACTAAAGGCCAAGTCAGGTTTATTTTTTTAAAAAAAAAGTATTTTGAATAAATAAGTTTTAAAGTCATAAGTCGTGTTGCTTTCATTAAAAAAAAAAAAAGTAAAGACGAATTCATTCTTGGAGCTTTCTTTCATTCAAGAAATACTTAGGTGTGTCCAGGGGCTGGGAGTAAAACTGAAACAGCCCCTGTCTGTTCTCTTATAGCTTACAACCTAGGGAGAGAGAAACATTTATTTGTGTAAATTGTATTTTTAACGTGGAAAGTACAGTTGTGACAAATACTTACAGGGAAGTATGGGGGGGGCCTTGCCTAGTCAGGTAGTTGGGGAAGGCTTCTTTAAGTGAATATAATTTGAAAAGAAAACTTAAAAGGCCCTCCTGTTTTTTGCTTATATATGTAGTTATTTTAATAAGCTTTTTGAATTATGTTCAAGGGCAATTTATTTTTATTTTCAATATACTTGTCAAGCAAAGTTATAAAGCTTTAGAACATTGAAATGGGTACAAATATAATATATATAGGAAAATTTGCTGTTTCATTGCTTATGTATGGGCTAAGTGAATAAATTTTGTCAGCCTCCCACTTCACCTTGAGTTGCATTTCTTTACATCCGTTGTACTTAGTGACATTTCTTCAGTGAGGGCTAAAAAGCTTGTTGTCTTTTTATGTCTCTCCATATAATTTTGCTAGATGTCTTACAAATTATGTGAAAAATCTTATATTAGTCTGAAGTCAGTGATAGGAGGTTTAGGCCAAGATTAGAAAACAATAAAAACAATTGCTATAGTGTTTTTGTGGTCATATATATTACAGTCTAGTTCTTTAAAAGCTCCCTAAGAGTTTTAACTTGTATATTAATTGTCTAGTATCGCTCTTGAAAATCTCACATGCTCCCTTGAAAGATATCTTTTCCAAAAAAAACTGAGTAGTAGTCTTACATTTTAAAGATCTCAAAACTGCCTTCTGTAATTTCAGCAAAAGTCTACATTAATGTAGCATAACCTTTTACAATTTTTATTCCCTTCTAGTCTTCACCATCCTGACAAGTCTGTATTTTACTTCCTCTTTCACATACCAGGAGAAGTATTATTTGATTTGTGAATAATTAGAAAAAATTTGATTTTATGACCTTTTATTTGAAATGACAGAAGATGCACATCCTGACAAAAAAAACTTCGATAACAAGACTTTGGGTAGGGAATCTTTTTCTTTCACCTCTCCTTAGAAGGAAAACAAAAATGACAAGCTTCACCCCTCTACCCTGGCAGATATTTTTTTTTTCCTGTTGTCTGCTTGTTAAAATCTAAGACATCCACAATTTTCTGGAGGCTTCTTTTAGTAAGACTAGTTCATTTTTTAAGTTTCCTAATGTAAAAAACTGAATGTTAACCCAATGTTAACCTATTACTTTTCTGCATATGCTATAGTAGGCTTTTAAAAAATACCTTCTAGGCCAGGCACAGTGGCTCACACCTGTAATCCTAGCACTCTGGGAGGCCAAGGCAGGCAGATCATTTGAGCTCAGGAGTTCGAAACCAGCCTGAACAAGAATGAGACCTTGTCTCTACTAAAAGAAACAGAAAGAAATTAGCTGGACAACTAAAATTAATATTTACTTATATACTATATTAATATATAATATATATATATTATATATAATTAGCTGTGCATGGTGGCACATGCCTGTAGTCCAGCTACTTGGAGGCTGAGGCAGAAGGATTGCTGAGCTCAGGAGTTTGAAGTTACTGTGAGCTAGGCTGACACCACTGCACTCTAGCCCAGGCAACAGAGTGAGACTCTGTCTCAAAAAAAACCAAAAAACCTGCAATTGTGATTGTATTGAAAAGCAAGTCAGTCTAGGGCCACACACCCTGACGGCCCGACTCGTCTGGTTCGGAAAAGCAATCAATTTTTTCCTTTTGGTTATGAAATATTTGTGCATACAGAAAATAGAGGATAACACCTAGTTTTACGTATATATTTTTTCTATTATATATATTATTTCGAAGTATTACAGGGTTCATTGTTAATATTTTAAAAAATAGTTTTACCATCTAAATGCATTCCTAAACTGTTCTGGTTGTTATTTAACTTTATTAGAAGAAGGCTAGTGCATATAGTCTTTTTGCTTTGTTTTGTCATCTTTTGTTAACATATGTTTGTTAGCATCATTCATGTTTTCTATAACTTTAGGTTGTTCGTTTTCAGGACTGCATAGTGTGCCATTGTAGAAATAGATGGCACATGAGTTACTCATTCCTGAGAATTTGGGTGAGAATTGGGGATGCTTGCAGGTTTTGGCCTCACAACAGTGCTGCACTGAATGTTTGTGAGTCTTATCATTTGTGCTCATGTGTGGAAGTCTCCTTAGGGTAGACTGGAAACGCTACATCAGAGGGTATGTGTATCTGCAGCTTGAATAGAGGAGGACAAACTTTTTCAAAAGTGGATACATGAATTTGCACTCCTCTATTTTGATGGGTGTGTAATGGCACCCTACATATATATATATATATATTTTTTTAATTAGAGACGGGGTCTCGCTATGTTGCCCAGGCTGGAGTGCAGTGGCTCTTCACAGGCGCGATCCCACTACTGATCAGCACGGGAGTTTTGACCTGCTCCGTTTCCGACCTGGGCGGTTCACCCTCTTAGGCAACCTGGTGGTCCCCCGCTCCCGGGAGGTCACCATATTGATGCCGAACTTAGTGCGGACACCCGATCGGCATAGCGCACTACAGCCCAGAACTCCTGGACTCAAGCGATCCTCCTGCCTCAGCCTCCCGGGTAGCTGGGACTACAGGCGCGCGCCACCGCGTCCGGCCCTACATATATTTTTAATGCTTAAGAATTTTTAATTTTTAAAAATGGTATCAAAATAAGAATTATTTATAATTACATTATTAATTATGAAGTTTTATAAAACTAAATCCATTTAATACTGTTTTAGTGTCAATTTTAGTTTTGTTAAAATTTTGTTTAATTTTTTTTTTTTTTGAGACAGAGTCTCACTCTCTTGCCCAGGCTATAGTGCTGTGGCATCAGCCTAGCTCACAGCAACCTCAAACTCCTGGGCTCAAGCGATCCTCCTGCCTCAGCCTCCCAGGTAGCTGGGATTACAGGCACGCACTACCATGCCCCGCTAATTTTTTCTATTTTTAGTAGAGATGGGGTCTTGCTCAGGCTGGAAATTTTTGATTATTTGATCTTTTAATGTCAGCTTTTAAATTATAAGTGCAGCTTTATGTGTTAAGTATATGTATGTGGAAAAAGTTACTATAGTGTCTTCTTTTTTTTTTTTTTTTTTGAGACAGAGTCTTGCTTTGTTGCCTGGGTTAGAGTGAGTGCCATGGCGGCAGCCTAGCTCACAGCAGCCTCAAACTTCTGGGCTCAAGCAATCCTGCTGCCGCAGCCTCCCGAGTAGCTGGAACTACAGGCATGTGCCACAATGCCTGGCTAATTTTTTCTATATATATTAGTTGGCCAATTAATTTCTTTCTATTTATAGTAGAGACGGGGTTTCACTCTTGCTCAGGCTGGTTTCAAACTCCCAACTTTGAGCAGTCCGCCCACCTCAGCCTCCTAGAGTGCTAGGATTATAGGCATGAGCCACTGTGCCTGGCCTATAAAACAGTTTTTTAGTTTTCTTTGAAGTACCTCTGGGACATTTCAGGGGGACTGAGAATATTAATTTTAATTTTCCTGTCTTTGTTTTATAACTCACACGAGTTAATGTGGTGGGTATCATAGGAAGGAGAGCTCATTCCCTTATTGCCCTCACTGCCAACTGGTATTATCTTTTAACATACCTGATTTTGTTTACCCATCTAACAGAACTACTTGGAGGTGTCTTCCACCCTTTTATAATTGATCCTCCCACACAGCCCCCTTCCTTGCTGGCTCAGTTATTTGCATATAGTTGATAATTGGTAAATAGCAGCTGATTGATTTTGAGCTGCTTATATGTCTCATTTCTCTATCCTTTAGGAGAAAATGTCCTACAATATTTCAAAGTTTGCCATTTTGAGCAAGTTTTGAGTTTAAGACTTGGAGTATGAAAGCTAGTTAGTAAAGGGCATATGACCTATCATTGATACTTTTCATCTTCTCTTTTCTAAATTAATTCAGAATAGTTTTCCGATTAATATTAGTTTTCTGGTTAAATTTGAATTTGTTATTTGTAATGTTGCCAGAAAGGAGTCAAAAAGAAGGTTTGTTTTTTGTGTCTTTGGAATATGTTAGAATTACTAATCTGGCAGTTTTTTCTTTTTTTTTTTCTTTTTTTGGAGACAGAGTCTCACTTTGTTGCCCAGGCTGGAGTGAGTGCTGTGGCTGTCAGCCTAGCTCACAGCAACCTCAAACTCCTAGGCTCAAGTGATCCTGCTGCCTCAGCCTCCCAAGTAGCTGGGACTACAGGCATGCGCCACCATGCCCCACTAATTTTTTCTATATATATTAGTTGGCCAATTAATTTCTTTCTATTTATAGTAGAGACAGGGTCTCTCTCTTGCTCAGGCTGGTTTCAAACTCCTGAGCTCAAGCAATCCTCCTGCCTCGGCCTCCCAGAGTGCTAGGATTACTGGTGTGAGCCACCATGCCCGGCCGATCTGGCAGTTCTTTTATTTGGTTTCTTAAAATTATAGTCCCTTTTGTTAATAAAGGATTTAGGAAAATTCTCTCTCATTTGATCATTGTATCACTTTGCACCCTACAGCTTTAAGACGTCCTACAGCTTTAGGACATCATTAGCTTGCTTGCTGTTACCTTGCCACCTGAGGACAGAACTGAGATTTAACACAAGTTCCATGCTCTACTTTGCTTCTGTATCAATGCTAATTTGCTGGGAAAGGGCTAATCTTACCAACTATTCCACATTTCAGCTAATTTCTCTTGTGTATTCATTTATTATTGTTAGGATGGTATGTGTTTATTCAAAATTAATTTAACATTCAGCAAGTATTTGAATGCCTTCGACTAAATGCCACCCACTGCCTTAGATGAGCAAAGGATAAGGTATCTGTCCTCATGGAGTTTACAGGAGAGTCAGGTACTGTAAATAAGCCTTGTGAGACCTAAGTTTGGAGAGTCCAGTTTTGATTAGGAAGTCAAGGCCTCTTAAAGGAGATGAGTCAAACTGAAACTCAAAGGGTGAATTAGTTAGGATACTTTGTTTGGCTCTAGGACAAGAAGAACACTGGCAAATGTGATGTGTTGTTGCAGAAAGAAATCCGATCATCTGAGGCTGAGTGACTGAAAAGATAGATAGGGACAAGTATATGTAGGCCACATCAGGGAATACATTGTGTGTGTGTGTGTGTGTTTAAAATAACAATTGAAGTTAACTATAAAAAAGTACACAAGTGTATAGCTTGATGAATTTTCACGAAGTAAGCATACCCGAGTATTAAGTGCTCAGCTAGAAAAGACAGAACATTACTATTAATACCACCCCAAACCCTTTGTGCTTTCTTTCAACCACTTCCTGACTTCTAATACTGTATTGTACCTCACATGTTTTTGACTTACTGTATATGTGGAATCATATAGTGTATATTCCTTTTGTGTCTGGCCTCCTTCACTGGACATTATGAGATTCATCTTTATGTGTAGTTGTATGTCTTTAATTCTGTTGCTGTTTGGTATTCCCATGGTATGACTATATATACTAAAATTTATGTATCCATTCTCTTGTTGATTGATATTTGGATTGTTTGAGGCTTTTATGAGCAGTGCTGTTATGAACATTCCTCTAGTTGTCTCCTGGTTCATGTATGTATGTATGAGTTTATGTCTAGGATATATACTGAGGGGTGGAATTGTTTAGGTCATGGGATATATACATCTTCAGCTTTACTAGGTAATGGCCCAACTATTTTCTACAGTTGCTGTTACAGTTTACACACTAGCCCATTGAAGCATTTGTAAGCAAGGAGTGATATCAGATTTATGTTTTTAAAAGATTGCTCTTGCTGTTGTGTAGGGCACAGTAAGAAGGGATGTGGGATAACATAATAGGAAATTATTCTCTGTAAATTTAAAAAGACTAGAAGACTTTCATTGGTGGCAAAATAATCCATAACTATATCCAATATCAAAATTGCTAATGAATGCTGTGTTATTACCAATTAATGTGTTTTAGTATTGATAAGCAATTGATCTTCATCCTTTATTTTTGTCATATTTAGGATTTACAGAACAAAGTGTGTATTTTTTTGGAAAAATTAACACAAATTTTATAAGTTTCCTCCATTAGAGCCAATTTTACTCTGAGGGCTTACACAGTGTAACATACCCTGTTCAGACCTACTATGGCAGTAGATTTTATAATAAGCAGTACATTGTAATAATTCATTTGGGCTTTTATGAGTAATTTGAATTGTATAAGTTATATAATGAAAGCACCTGATACAGGTATAACTAAAGGTAACTTTTCAAGTCCAGATGTTAAGAATTAACTTCTTAGATTTCTGATATGTGTTAGTATTTGAGTATTTACAGTGGTTACCAATGGAAATGATTGAAATTATAGCGTGCTTAAATTTGTTTAGGGTTTTGTCTTTTTTTGTGGCAAAAAACACATTACATGAATCCACCCTCTTAATAGATTTTTAAGTGTACAGTATTGTTAACTATATGCATATTATAATCAATTTGTTCAGTTTTGATGTAGCATTTGATATAAATTCTTACCATTTTCTTGTGAACTCACCGATTTGCAGTCTAATGATAGGTCATAGGTAATTAAATTCGTATTACAAAATGTAGTGACTAAACATGATATTTATGAGCATTTTCATTTTATTTCAGAGTTTTCTTGGAGGCTTTTTTGGTCCGATTTGTGAGATCGATATTGTCCTTAATGATGGAGAAACCAGGAAAATGGCAGAAATGAAAACTGAAGATGGCAAAGTAGAAAAACACTATCTCTTCTATGATGGAGAATCTGTTTCAGGCAAGGTAAATCTTTTGCTTGACAAAATTACCTAGTTGTAGGATATTAGAATTAGTCATCAAAATGGTCTGTGCTTTTTCTAAATTTGAATGATTTTATTAGAGCTGAAAATTTTTTTTCTGAAGGTCAGCTAAAATCCTTGATTGATTAGAACATTTACAGGAAAGATTCTTACCCAGGAAGGCGTTAAGGGGTAGAGTCTCTAAATTTCATGCAAAATTTTCTGTTTGTAACTGTGTACATCTGTCTAGCTTCTAAGTTTCTCTAGAATGGGACTGTGATCCACCCAAAGTTGATTTCTTCTATCTGTTGATCTCATTTCTTGTTAGTCTGTAGAGGACCTAAGTACCTTTGGAATGTATCTATGCATGGACAGATACATTTATGATGCCTTCCATAAGGTTTTGCTTTTTTCCCCTTTTCCTTACCCAGTGATGAAGGAGATTATCCTTATATTTTAGAGGCTGTGATCAATACTCAATAGTCTGTGATACTGGGGAATGATAATATCAAAGACAAAAGCATAGCCACAAAACATTTGAAGTAATTTTTAAAATATAAAATATTTACAATCCATGTTTGAAATTAAAAAAAAAATAAAAAAATAAAAAAAAAATATAAAATATTATGATTTTTCTCCCTTGTTAAAGTAATATATAAATGTAGTAGACAATTTGGGAAGTAAAATATGTATAGTCTTATCATATGGAAATAATTCACTGTTAATATTCAGTATGTTCTGACTTCATTTCCTCTTCAAAATAAAAAAAAAAAATATTCAGTATGTTTCCTCCTAATCTGTCTACATTAATTAATGATTATGTATATGTAGTATATTAAGCATACCTTTTCCCTATTGTTGGATATTTAAGTAGTTTCTGTTTTTCAGATGGCTTTTAGTATATCATATTTTTGGTAATATGGACATTATATGTATACATTTTTCTCTAGACTTCTGTAGGATAAGATTGTTTCCTTAGAATAGATTCCTGGAAGTGAGTTGCTACACCAAAAGGCATGAATATTTGAAGGGTCTTAAACACATTAATCTGGAATATTTATTTGTATCAAGTAACTTCTCACCTGTAGTATCTTGTTTTACCCAGAGCAGCACTGAGTATGATCACTTTTTAATCCTTGCTAGTTTGATAGGCAAAAATGATCTTACTATTTTATTTTGCATTTTTTTGGGTTACTTAATAGGTCAGACTTAGGTTTTTTAGCTATTTGAGGTTACTTTTTTACTGCATTGTCTATTCTGGTCCTTTGCCAAATTACCAATTGAGGTCTTAGTGTTGTATCTGAAAGTGAATTTTTTTGGTTTTCAAGTTTACTTTCCTGGTACTTTCCTCCTTTAAAAAGATGGAGAGGAAGAGAGAGACCTAAAGTAGAGCAGACAAAATTATCAAAAGGATGGAACAAGGCTGGGTGCTGCTGTGGCTCATGCCTGTAATCCTAGCACTATGGAAGGCCGAGGCGGGAAGGATCGCTTGAACTCAAGAGTTTGAGACCAGCCTGAGCAAAAGCAAGACCTGGTCTCTACAGAAAAATAGAAAAATTAGCCAGGCATGGTGGTGCATGCCTATAGTTCCAGCTACTGGGAAGACTGAGGCAGGAGGATCACTTGAGCCCAGGAGTTTGAGGTTGCAGTGAGTTATGATGTCGCCACTGCACTCTAGCTGGAGTGACAGAGTGAGACTCTGTCTCAAAAAAAAAAATAAAAAAAGGATGGAACATGCATGTCAAATGAAAGAAGAGTAAAAGAAGAAGTGTTTGGCCTATGGAAAAGAAAACTTTTTAATGGTTTGGGTAGGAATACTAGTCTAATCTTTCTAGGGAGAGATTGAACCAGCTAGTAAATATCTTAGATATTTCATTTGTAGATAGAATAAGTATCTCTTTTACTAAGTTGTAAGCTCTTTAAGATCAGGGGATCAGAGTGTTCTGTAGTATCCTTAAAATATAGTGTTAATTGTATAATAGGTTTTCACTAGATATTTATTTCATTTATTTACTGATTTTATAGTTTATTGTTTTACTCTTTTTAGGCTAGTGGAGAATATTCTCTGTTTAGTTCAAAATAATCTTAATAGCATCTGGGCCAGTTGAATCTTCAAGGCTAATGTTTATGGAATAAAGGAAGAGGGGAATGTTTAAGATAAAAATAAGCTACTTCAGTATGTTTTTTAAAAAATAGCTGATGTTGAAATTATAATTTGTAATTGCTAGAAATCATATGTAGACCTAATTAATAAGTGCAGATTATTTTTTAAAGATGATAAATTCTCTTACAGGTAATTTTTTTCTGTTCAAAAGTTACTGTATTTTGAATCCGTTTATTGGCCTGAGATATTTTTCATTTTTAACCTTTTTATTATAAAATAAAACCCATGTACAAAACCCCACAAACCAAAAATAAATTATTATAAGATACATTTCTTTGTAATCACCAAGTAAAGAAATAGTATTTTGACAGCTACCCCATATGTCCTGTCCCAGTCACAGCACCCTCCCCTCAAAAGTAACCACTATGCTGACTTTTATAGCAGTAAACTTTCTTATGTTTTCTTTTTTTTTGGTGATTTTTTTTGAAGACAGGTTCTTGCTCTTTTGCCTGGGCTAGAGTGCAGTGGTGTCTGCAACCTCAAACTCCTGGACTCAAGGGATCCTCCCACCTCAACTTCCTGAGTAGCTGGGACTATAGGTGCGTGCCACCGCACCTGGCTAATTTTTCTATTTTTTTGTAGAAATATGAGGTCTTGCTATGTTGCTTAGGCTGGTCTTAAATTCTTGGCCTCAAGCAGTCTTCCTACCTTGGCCTCCCAAAGTGCTAGGATTACAGGTGTGAACCACTGTACCTGGCTATATTTTTTTCTTTTTAAGCTTTTTTGAGATATATACAGACACCATAAAATTCACCCATTTTAAGTATATTTAAAATTTAGAGTCAGTTTACAGAGTTGTGCAACCATCGCTATTATCTAATTCCAGAATGTTTCCATTACTCAAAATAATCCCAAAAAACAAAACAAAAAAATCTTATACCATTATAGTCACTCTCCATTCCTTCCTCCTAGCCCCTGGCAACCACTAATCTACTTCATGTTTCTATAAGAATTTACCTATTCTGGACATTTTATATAAATGGAATGATACAATGTGTGGTCTTTCCTATCTGGTTTCTTTCACTTAATATAATGTTTTTGAGGTTCTTCCATGTTGTAGCATTTGTTGTCAGTATTTCATTTTTTAAATTGCTGAATAGTATTCCATTTTGTTTACTCACCAATTGATAGTATACCACATTTTGTTTACTCACCAGTTGATGGGCATTTGAGATGTTTCCACCTTTGGGCTGTTTTAACATTTGTTTACCAGTTTTTGTGTGGACTTATATTTTCATTTCTCCTGGGTATATATACCTAGAAGTAGGATTGCTGGGTCTTAGTTAAACTTACGTTTAACTTTTTAAGCAATTGCCAAGGACCATAGGAGTTTTTGGTGGTTTCCTTGCTAACTGGTATGACAATATATTCTAGGGTCTTAATACATTTCTTATTTCAGACCTGAAGTTGGCCAGATCTTTTAACCATAATTTGCATGTTAGGAATGTTCATTGCTACTGGATTGGTCATTGTTTCTAGGCTTTTCAGTGGATAGATTTTATCCTGAGATAAAATACCTCAGGAGTTCATTTTGTGATTTCCTATGTAGTTTCAGAACTATAGGGTTTTTTACTTAACCTCTTTTATATTACATATGTATCTCCTCTCTTCTGCACCAAGAATCCTGGCTTTCAGAGGCATAGGGGAAGATACAATTAGCATATCCCATAATTTACTCATTTGCTTTATTCCACATATATATACATACAATAGTCTCAGAATAACAATACTAGTATTACCAATACCAATATAATTATAAAATTAGTTAAAAACTATTTTGCATCTGCTGTCTCTATTTTACCCCCCTTTCGTAAGTACACCATAAGTACATTGCCAGAGCCCTTTTAGTCCTCATTTAGTTTTCTTTCATAAATAACTGTTCATATAATGCTCACCACCAGTCCTTATGTCTTCGTCTCTTTAGTTGTTTTGTTATCTGAACTCATTCTCTAGTTAATAGAATAGATGAGATTTCTCAGGAAATGCTCATGAGGACAATAGTCCCTAAGTTTTTGCATGTTGATAATGGCTTTTTTGTATCCTTTATATTTGAAGGTTAGTTTTACTGAATATAATAAGCTTGGATTACATTTTCCTAAGTATTTTAAATCTATTACTCCATTGTCTTCTGGCATAGAGTATTCTTGACAAAGCCCAATTTAATTTTCCTTATAACATGGCATACTCTTTTGCCTTGATACCCAAAGGATTTCTTTTTCTTTTGCTTTAAGGTCCAGTGATTTTACTAGAATATGTCTTGATGTTATTCTTCTGGGGTGATAGTCTCAGATCCCTGGTATGTATTTTCCTTAAATAGCTTAATTTTTTCTTTTAAGGAAAGTTTTCTTGAGTTAATAGCTATTAGAATTTGTTCCATTCCTTTGCTTTGGTTTTCTTCTTCATTTATTATCATTATTTTTTATCTTATTTGACTATCTTCAGTATTAGTCCCTTTTTCTTGAGTCCTTTTTATCTCTTTAAATTTCAAAATTTCTTTTCACCTTCTATTTTTAAGATGTTGTGTTTTTTTGTTCTTGTATTCCTTCTAGTTCACCCTTCCTTTGTAAAAACATTTTGTAAAATTTATTCCTTTCTTTCTTTTTAAGACAAAGTTTCACTCTGTTGGCGGGGCCAGATTGCAGTGGCCTCATCATAGCTCACTGCAATCTCAAAGTCCTGGGCTCAAGCCATCCTCCTACCTCAGCCTCCGAGAAGCTGGAACTACAGGCTTACGCCACAACATCCAGCTTATTTTTTCTATTTTTTGTAGAGGCGGGGTCTGGCTGTGTTGCTCAGGCTGGTCTAAAACTCCTGACCTCAAGTAGTCTTCCCTTCTCGGC